CAGAGGGCCACCGACGGACGGACGGCTGGGCAGGCTTTGGCGGGGCGTTCTGAGGTGGGGCGGTGGCTCCTGACCGCAGAGAGGGGTCTTGCTCAGGAGGAGGGGCGGGAGAGGATGGCCCCCGCCGCCCTTGCCTGCCCTGTGATCCTCTTTCTTTGCAGGACTCTGGAGCAGCCGGAAGGGCGGCAGAAGTACCTGGCCGGGCCTGTCCTGGCCGACGGAAAACCCGACCTCTCACTGACCAGCTGCGAAGGGCGTCGCCTCGACTACATCCTTTACCGGGAGCACCCGGGGCCCTTGGCGCTGAACACCGTGAGTTGGGTGGCTGGTTGGCGTCTGCCTGCCTGCCTGCCTGTGTGGCTCCAAGGACGCACAAGGTGTTTCGGGAGGGTTTCGAGGACAGGGCACGCTTGCTCCTGACCTGAGATGTGGGGCTGGGGGGGGGAGGTCTGCTGAGCCTCCCCCCTTGAAGCATTGGCTAAATAGTCCATTGGGGCCGGGCCGAGGGAGATGCAGGCGTCGTGCTCTGGGGACGAGAGGCCAGCTTTGTCAGAGCTGGCTCAAAGGTGGAAGCCAGGAGTGAACTCCTGTTGGGCACCTCTTGGAAGAGAACATTTGCGTGGAGACCGCCCCCATCATTCATGGCAAGGTCGGATGGCAGAGGCCATGAGCCTCCGTGTGGGAAACTCTTTCGCTCTGCCAGTGAAAGAGGGTGGGGGACACATCGGGTCCTTTCATTCTGCTTTCCTGCCCAAGGTCAGAGGGGGGGGGGAGACGTGGATGAGACATGCTGGCCACAGAGTCCCTAGAAAGGGGTGGGTTTCTGGGGCCAGGGGCATTGCTTCCCGGGGGCGGGCGGGTGAGGGTCCTCGACCCTGTGAAGACTGGGAATAAAGGGTTGGGCAGGGGTCCCTGGAGGGTGGCAAAAGAAATTGGGGTGGGGGGAAGGACCTGGGAACTGCAGTCCTAAAGGAACGCACAGCAGAGATCTTGAAAAGGAAATGAAGGGCAGATGCCGTACGGTCCCATTGCATCCCGTCGTACAGTTGCTTCTGACATACAACCGCCCTGTGAATTAAGGACCTCAAAAGGTTATATCACTAAAAGCTCTTTTCAGCTATTGGCAACGGAAGACTGTGGTTTCTTTTATCCAGTCAGTCCATCTCATCTTAGATCTTCTTCCTCCTTTCCTGTTGCATTCGATTTCCCCTCTGCATTTTTTGTCTTCTCTTCTAAGCCTTTCCTCCTCTTGCTATGTCCAAACTGTGGATGCCTCAGCTGAGCAAGCTTCTTCCGGTGAGAGTTCAGGCCTGAGTGGATCCAGAACCCACTTATTTCCCTTTCTGGCAGCCCATGGTATTACAGTGGTGCCTCGCTTAACGAGCGCCTCGCTCAGCGATGGCCCCTATGGAGGTTTTTCGCTTAGCGAATATTGCATAACGAAGCTGGGAGAGCAGCTGATCGGCGGTTCCAAAATGGCTGCCGGAAGGTCCGCGCCGCATTTTCGCGCCCTGCCCTCGCTTACCGAGGGCGCGAAAATGGCGGCGCTATGGGACAACATTGCTTAACGGTGAGTTTTCAAGCCATAGGAACTATGGCTTTTTTATTACTGTTTAGCGATGTTTTCGCATAGCGAAGGTTAATCCGGAACGGATTAACCTCACTATGCGAGGCACCACTGTATTTGGTTCCTTTTCTGCTGGGGAGGAACTGAGCGTGTCAGGGTGAGACCGTTCTCTTGACTCTCCCTTCCCACTTCCTTCCTGAGGAAAACGTCTCTTCTGTCACCATGCCAGGCCTCCACCGTGAATGTGCGCTCAAAAGGGGTGTCTGTGTGTCTCTCAGAGCCACGGTGGGAGAGAGGCTGTAGCAGGGACCGACCCCCCCCCCGGCCGTTCTCAGGCACCGCCCTTGGAAAGATTTGTTCCAAACCAGGCAGATAAACAGGGCATTAGGGGTATGTGTGCATGAGGGTGGCATACACGAGAGCTGAAGGGGCCGCAAAGAGAGAGTCGCTTTGCAGGTAAGGTGGAGAAAGGTGTGTGCGTACACCTGTGAGGAGATCCCCTGTGATTTGGAGCAGGGAAGGCTCAGGGAGGAAAGACAGAGTGGAGCTCAATGGAGAGAGGGGTGCCATGACAGGGAGGCGGCTGAGGGAGCAGGTGGGGTGTGTTTGTGTGCACGCACGCACGCACGCACGCATGCTGAAGCCCTGCAAGCCAGACTGAGCGCTTGGGCGATGCCCTCCCAGATCAGGATAGCAAAGGGTTCCATGATGAGCGACAGGAGAGAAAGGGAACCTTCAAGCCACCCTGGCCTCTGCTGGAAGCCCCAACATCCACCAGGACTGTCCACCACCACCACCCCCACAGATTCCCCACTTCCTTGCTCAGCTCATGGCTTCACCTCCGGGAAAGCGGAAGAAGAAATAACCAACCGAAGGATTCACAATCCTGGACCTGGTCCTCCCCCCCCCAACCCGGCAGACATTCAGACAGGTTGAGTGCCCTGAGGGTGAGAAATCTTAGGAAACTGGGGGGAATTTTTGGAGGTGGAAGTGGTCACACCTGTTTGTGGTCAGTGTGTGTGCACAGGTGTGTGTGGATGTACTGTGTACTCTGGTGAAAGCTATGGGGACAGCAGCAAAAGCAGAATGGGCTTTAAACAAGTTTATTTACTGGGAAAGGAATCTGGCATGGACAGGAATAAAAGCCCCTGCAGAGAAGGAAGCAGAGCTATCACTCATTTCAAACACCTCAACAACATAGATTGCATTTCCCAGTTAGCAAGCAATATTTGAATGACAGACTTGTAAGGATAGGAACTTATGCCTAACTTGTTTATGTCTGAAAACATACAAGTGAGAAACCATTTTATCTTTCCGGCAAGCAGAAGACAATATGTGTAACTGTGGTTAGATAGCTGTGAATATGATATTTCTGGTCAGCAGAGTTTCCTACCAGGTGCAGAAAGGGGTAAAGGAGACATAGTCAGAGAAGCAGCATCTTTTTTAGATACTTTTTGTTTAAAAGCACACATTTGGCCTATTGATTATTGTGGAATCAAAACATATATGATGACTTATATAGGACCGATCTTTCCATGTGACTCTTTGTAGTTGTTTACAAGGTTAAAAATTTTTTGGTTTGCTTTTTACATTGGGACTTTTTCCAAAAGTGCAAATGTGCACCCATTGTTTACTGAAGATCCAAGCCTTCATGACAGCAAACGGCTTCAGCCAGCCAGGCAGGACAATTAAGCCAGGCAGGCAGTTTTCATCCCTGGTCGGGTTAAGATGGCATGTCAGCATCCCAGGAGTTGAATTATTTTCCAAGACCACCCTCTTGGGATTTCCTCTGCTGAGGACAGGGAACGCCAAGGACAGTAAAAGGAATTCCCCAGGAGTCCAGAAGGCTAACTTCCATAAGATTAAGGAAATGCATTTGTTAAAAACCCAGAGAAGAGTTTGAAGGATGTTTGTGAAGGCAGGCAGTTCATTGAAAGGTAAAATACCAGAGGCTCCTTTCTGGACCTTTCCTGTGAGAAAGAAAATAATATGAGAGAGTTACTTATTTTATTTACTATGTGCTTGCTTGCCAGCTGGCTGGTTGGCTTGCTTGTTTCCTTGCTTCCTTCCTTGCTTATATACTGCCCCATTAGTGCAATGCACTGTTTTGAGCAGTTAACAGTATAATAAAATCAGGCAAACCCTAACAGAAAAGAAATGAAATAATACAATCATAAAACAGGCGGACGAAACAGAATGCAATCACCAGGAAACCCCAACAGCGCTGTGTATCCGCATGAAGGTGGCAGGACAGGAGGCCGGGGCCAATGCAAGGGAGGTGGCATCCGAAGCCCTCTTGGGAGAGCAGCATCTTCAGCGACCTGGTGAAGGGGGGGCAGAGGGGGGGAGGTGCTGCTCAACTGGGAGCCGGTGCTGAAAAGGTGGGTGCCCTTGCCGAGGATGGAGAAAGATTCAGGACTGGCAGAGAGAGAAGGCAGGCAAATGAGTTCCCCCATACCTGCCTGGCCTTTGCCATCTCCCCAAAAGAAAAGCAGGCAGGTATAAGAAAGGGGGCCTGGGAGGCGAGACAGGTAAAGAGGTGGCCTGGGGGTGCCTCTTTTTCCGTTATGCTCTCACTCTGTGCCACCAAGGCCCGTCTTCAGCAATCCTAGGCAATAAAGCCCTCCAAAAGGTGCCTCGATAACAGCCCTGCTCAGGTTTGGCAAACTAAAGGCTGTGGCTTCCTTTACGAAGTCAATCCATTTCAGGCCCACTCTTCCTCTTTCCCCGTTGCCTCCCACTTTTCCTAGCATTTCTGTCTTCTAGTGATAAAGTCACACTAGGACAGCCTCAACGTACAGCAGTTGTTTTATCTTCCAGGGCGATTCCAGCGGTGCTTTGCTCCAGAGCCCACCTACTTGCCTTTTTTCTGGCCCAGGGTGTCTTTAAGGCTCTCCTCCAGCACGACCTTTCCAATGAGTTGATTTTTTTCTCTCTCTCTCTCTCTTCACTGCCCAGTGCTCACATCTGTGCATAGTAATGTGGAACATCAGCGCATGAATGGTCTTGGCCTTGGTCTCCACTGACATGTGCTTTCCCTCGACAATCGTTTCAGATTCGTTCACTGCTGCCTTTCTGCGTCTCAGCCTTCTTCTGATCTCTTGGCTGCGGCCTCCATTTGGGTGCATGACTGAGATGTAGAAAATCTTCAACCATTTTTTCTTTTTCATTGGCAGCACTAAAGCTGCATAATTTTTTATCTAATCATCATTTTTATTATCTTAATGTTCAACTTCACGGTGCCTTTGTACTTTGCTCTTAAACCTTCCTCCTTAGTCGTTCCCTGTTACAGCTGCAAGAAGGTGCCGTCAGCATTTCATAAACTATTAACGTTTTCGCCACCATATTCCTCCCTTCCTTCTTCTGCATCTAATCCATCCATGATATGTTCTATGTATATTTTGAACAAAAAGGGAAATAAAGTGCATGCCAGTCTGACACCTTTCCCCGTGGGAAACCCTTCTGTCTCTCCATATTCCATCCTAACAGTAGCGTCTTGTCCACAATACAAGTTACTCAGACAATCAAGTGCGGAGGCACACCCATTTCTTTTAGAATAACCCATTGTTTTTCTTTGATCCACACAGTCAAAGGCATTGCTACAATCTGTAAAACACAGATGTATTATCTTCTGAAATTCCTTGTTACACCCCAGCAGCTAATAAGTATTTCCAGTGCAATTTTTAGTGGGTTCTTTTCTAAATCCAGCTTGATCTGATATTACCCATTTCACATAATTGTTATGATCTTGATAGCTTCAGTTTCTGAAGTTTGAAACAGTATTAGCAATATCTATTCTGGTGATTTATTGCTTCTAATTACTTTGGGAACAGTTTTCACTTCATGTCCTAAAATTGCAGAGTCTTCTTTAAAAAAAGATTTTTTTAAGGATGCTGTCATCCTTGCATCTTTTCTGTAAACTTCTTTAATATATTGTTTCCATCTCATCTTTATCTTGGTGAGACAATCTGTTGATCCTGCAGCATCCTTGATTTAAATTTCCCTTTGATATCTTGGATCTTTCTGTTTCTTTTTCTTTGGCTTCCGTCTTTGCAACAGAGACCTGAATGATAGTTATGCTGTCAGGCTTTCTGTGAAGTTTGAGTTATCCTATTACATTACATGATGTGTGATGTGCTCTGTCAGCATCCTCTCTGAACCGTGTCATTTCTTCAAAGCTCACTGTTTTTAGAGTAAATCACTTTGTAATTATCTATTCCAGTTCACTTTAGTTCACTCAAGCCAGGTGTTTCGACGTCTAAACATTCCATTTCTTGTTTTACTATTTTTAGCATACGCTTTGAGTCATACTTCTTACATCCCATCTTCGAATTATACATGCTGGGCATCATCAGCATTTCCTTTTGCCTCTTGGCTCAACTAGCCACTGGACATTCTTTCAGGCTGATTAACTACTCTGCCATTATTTGTACTTCTCTCTTGCTCTTCCACAGTCATTGGCTGAGTGCCTTCCAACCCGGTAGTCTCATCTTCCAGCATTTTCCTTTTGTTTTGGATTGTCTCATCGTAGGGTGTTTGAGGTATGAAAGAGGTTATTATTACTGTCTTCTTCCATATAGCACTAACAGGGGTTAGATGAAAGATCCCCTGCCGGTGTTACTGTCCACCTCTGGTGCTGCCCACCAGCTGTTCTTCAGGACTTTCTCCGGATCCTCGTCACCTTTTTCACCAGGGTTGAGGATCACTATGTCACGCTGGGGAGGGGAGAAGGTTTGATGCAAAGTCCTGCTCACAAATCTGTCCTTGTTCCAGAGGAGACGGGGCAGCGGCCCAAAGAGAGGTGTCGAGAGCTGCCGTCTCTAGAGCCCCTTATGCTCTCCTGTGGCTTTCCTCACACCCTGTCCTGTCCCCTCTCTTTGCTTCCAGGTGGTGGAGAAAGCCTCCTTTATCACTCATCTGGCCACCTGCGCTGACCATTTGCCCTTTGGGCTGCGGCTTCTGGTGACTTGCACGGAACAGCCAGAAGTGTGAACTCTGCCCACGGCCAAGCAAGGAAGGCGCCAGAAGACCCTGGGCAGGAGAAGTCAAACCTCCTCAGACCATCACTGTGGAAGGGCCAGCACTCCTATGCCTGCTGTGACTGGGGTGTAAACCCCCCCCCTCCGGTCCAGTGCCAGGCAGCAGAGTGGTGGCAGGGCAGGCAGGAGGAAGGAGCCACTTTCAGGGGCAATAGACGCTCCTTGCCACGTCCCTTGAGGAGGCAGAAGCTGTGGAAAGCCTCTCTGCTGAGCCCAGGCCGGAAACATTGCCAGCGTTCGCCCTCCCTTTGCTGCGGTGGGTTCCCCTAGTGAGCCTGTCAGCTGAATGTGACGGGCCGGGTGTTGCTCAGTGACGTTTTCACAACTGGACTACAGCACCACGAAGCCCAGACGGGGTGCTGAGACTCACCGGCCTCTCAGGCAACATCTCGAGGCAGCGCTGGCCGTCACGAGAGACGGATGGGGCCCTTTGTCCTCCCCTGAGACATGGTTGGCATCTGACGGAGAGTGACCATCTTTGGCAGGAGGTCTGGCCCATTCCCTGCACCCCCTGAGCAGTTTCAGGGTGGCGATCGGTCTTCTAAAGCTGCCAGCCGTGCCAAAGGGAATCCCGGCCACGCTGAGGAGCCTTGCCTCTCACCGAAGCAGGACAGAAGCGACACGGGATTCAGCGTGCGCTGGACACATTTGCTAAGCCTCCAAAATCTCGGACCAGCTTCCAAGGACCCCGAGGGAGAGGATCCCGGAGGACGGGACACTTTCTCCCGGCCCGGAGACTCTCATGGGCAGAAGGAAGTCCAGGTGCCTACCTTTTGCGTTTCTTCGAGATCGGGGCAGGGGTGAGGGTGGGGGTCTCAAAGCTCTTGAAGCCTGGCCCCGCCTGTCCTGGCCATGGCGGTCCTCTCTAAATGAAGTCCCTGCATTCACCTACTTCCCCTGTCAGTCACTCTTTTCAAGAGATGTTTAAGATGACGGCTGGAAATGGCTTCCCATGGGATGCGCTGGGGCTTTTCTTGGGTCTGCTGCCGGATTGGCCTGCCCTGACCCCCCTCCTTGCGGCTGGAGGAGGCTTAGGCTGGCCAATGAGCCAAGGCCTTCTCTCCCAGGAAGTAGGGGCTGGGGGGGGAACACGGTGGCCTGGGGGGAAGGGGCTGGCACCCCCATTTGGGATGGGTCTGGGGCTCAGCCTCCTCCTCCTCCTCCTCACCCGAAAGTGTCCCACCTACTGCTTGGCCTCCTCCTGGATGATCTGCAATTCTAAGGGTCTGGAAAGGGGCCGCTAAGGAGCGGGGCTTGCCACCTGAGCGTTGCCCATCCTTGTTTGCGCCTCCCCCCCTTTGTGCGAATTGATTGAAACAGGTGGAAGAGTGGGACGGGAACCCAAAGCCCAGCTCTATGATTGCCAGAGTTGGGCCTTTTGCAGCCCTGAGCAGGCAGGGTGGTGGTGCTACATCCAGTTTCCCCTCTCTACTGGCTGCTCCCCCTTAGGAGCCCTCTTGTCAGATCCTGCAGCCATCCTGGGCTAGAGACGGGGCTGGGGGGGGAAGGGGGGCTTCACTCCAAGATGGCATAGCAGGAGTGGGAGGCGCGCGGTGCCCCTGAGGAGGAACTGCTGAGCCACAGACTGTCTGCCCACCTTTGCACCCCTGAAGGTCACAAGGAGAGCAGAAGGGTGGCACCTGCACCACCATCACCCACCCCCTTCCGCCCCCTCCGTTCTAAGCCCCGTTTGCCTGAGGAACCCGTTCAGGGCGGAGGGATGCCTGCCAAGGGAAGCCCCTCCCATGGCCTGAAGGCTGATGGTTGCCTGGCTGCCCCTGAGGCAAAGAAAGAGCAAACCCAGCCCCATGAATGGGAGGGGAAAGAACCTATGGAGGAGGCTGTCTGGGCAAGGGAGCTGCTGGCTGCTGGCAGGGAGGGGGGGGAAGCTTCTTCGAGCGGCAAGCAAAGCAGGACCTCAGACGAGGGAGCATTTCCTGCTGCACGATGCTCAATCCAGCTGGAGACTCCACTCGGCTGCCCTGACCTCAAGCGCAACGGCTGGAAGACGGCCCACAGCAGACCTGCCCTTGGCTGGCAGATTTGCCCCGAATGGCAGCCCAGCGCCAGGGCGGCTGGGGCTTTGGTTTTATGCCCCCCAAGAGGTTCCTGGTCGTCGTCATGGGTTTTTCGGGCTCTTTGGCCGTGTTCTGAAGGTTTTTCTTCCTAATGTTTCGCCAGTCTTTGTGGCCACGGGCATCTTCAGAGGACAGGAGTCAGAACTCTGTCTGTGCTCTGGTGCAGTCTGTGCGATAGTTCCCACAACTAGAGTAGACTATGTCTAGATGGGCGGCATATAAATGCAATAAATAAATAGATAGATAGATAGATAGACAGACAGACAGACAGACAGACAGACAGACAGACAGACAGACAGACAGACAGACAGACAGACAGTGGGGTAGCTCCCACAACTGCTCTGGTGCAGGTTGTGAGATATCCCACAAACTGCACCAGAGCACAGAGAGAGTTCCAGGTAACCGGAAGTTTCTGAGATGCCTGCCTGCCTGCCTCTCAGATACAAGGCAAATATTTGACTCCTGGTGGAGCTGGGCTGAGTTTCTATCTGAATATGCCCAAGTTCTTCTAATGCACCTGTTCATGCATCTGATGCTCTGCCAGCTGTTAAGGTGTCCAGCACAGCAGCAAGTGCCAGACCATCGGCATAAATAAAACTTTTGCGCCTTGTGGAGGGGGTCGGTCAGTGGTGCAGTGGTTAAGCACGACAGGAACCATTGCCCGGCCCTGTCCACCATCGAGTATGTGCGTGTGGCCCTTTGCCATTAATGATAGATCTGCAATCTCGCAAAAGGGTTGCTATAACTTGAGTTAATTTCCATAGACGAGAAAAAGGAGGGGGAAGTGGTGTGGTCCTTGCACAATTCTGAGGCAAGGGTAGGTGACCCTTTTATTAGGCACTCACAAAACCCACCCAGATAACTGGCTTTGGACCCAGGCAAGCCATCCCCGGGCTGGGCCCCCAGTTCTCTCTCCTTTGCAGCAGCCACCTGACAGAATCCAGGCACATCTCCATCCCCACATCCCCGGGTCTGGGGAGGAGACCAGCCAGGAAGAAAAGTCAGTGGCTTCCGGAGCCCCCCCCCCCCCCCAAGACCCAGCAAATGTAGTCGGTTTCTGCAGACCAGAGTTATCCGTTACTGAAAGATGAAGAGAGAGACTGCGGAAGGGGTTGCTCAGGCACATTGCAGAACGCACCTCGGCTGCGCAATCACATACCCACGTGATTGCTTGCCGCTACAAGCTGTATCAACATTACACACAGGCACGCACGGCCGCGGCCCCTCCTCCTCCGCCTTGCAAAGCATGCAGCCTGGCAAGACTGTCTGCATATCCGTTACTGAAAGATGAAGAGAGAGACTGCGGAAGGGGTTGCTCAGGCACATTGCAGAACGCACCTCGGCTGCGCAATCACATACCCACGTGATTGCTTGCCGCTACAAGCTGTATCAACATTACACACAGGCACGCACGGCCGCGGCCCCTCCTCCTCCGCCTTGCAAAGCATGCAGCCTGGCAAGACTGTCTGCAGCCTCAGGGCTGCGCCACGCATGGCCTCGCTGCTCCCCATAAAACGGCCCAGCCAGTAAACTGGGCCATGTGCCACCAGCCATTGGCAGAGGCAGGCTTGGTGCAGCTGCCTGCCACCTTGCACAAAAAATAGCAGGACCTACATTTTAAGAAGAACTGAGTTATCAAGGCATGTTAAAAGGTGGTTTGAGGCTCTGGTGTGACTCTGCCATGTGCAACCTCGTACCGCAAGTGATGATGTGGGATAGTGGTGCACATGTCCCACCTGCTCCTGTCGCAATCTGTCCCCGCATCCTGGTTCATTGGTCTATGCCAGTCCAGGCATGGTGTCTGCACAGCAGAAAAAAGGAGCAATTTGTACCCAATAGCTGTCCAGGACATTTGACAACGGAGGTTTGCACCGCCAGAATGAACTTGCTTGCACAGAAGGACAGCAAAGAGGGGGCCAGGCTGGTCTCCCGCGAGAGGGAGTTCCCTTACACAGAGGGCAACCCCCGGATCTGAAAGTATTCCGTATGAGAGAAGGGACAAGTGGTGTCTCTCTGGAAGCGATTATTTCAGGACCTCCCATGCCTCACAAAGCGGGGCAGGGAGGAACCCTCTGTCGGCCACCCCCTTTCCGGGCTGCTCCGGAGGATCAGCGGCTTGCAGCTCTCGGCTCTGGCTCCCAGCCCTGACCTCCGAATGACTCCGAATGAGTAATCAGGCAGGAGATGGTAGCAAATGCAAAGGCGGCTTGTACAATGTGACTGGGAAAGGCAAACGGGGGGGGGGGACTCACTCAGCCAAGCAGTTGGGTGGCTCCAAAGCTGGAGGCCTTCAGGAGCAAACGGGGCTGCCCTCTCTCTCTCTCTCTCTCTCTGCCCGCTCTGCTTGGACTCGGGTGGGGCTTGCGGGCCTGGTCAGCCCCCCTTCCGACGCCCTCGTTCTCTGGTTCGCCGGATGTGGCGTTTCCCGGCAGCTGGCTGAGGGAGAGGGCGAGGGGCGGCCTTTTGACTCTAATCATGGAAAGCTTCTAACTGGGAAGCCCTGAACGGAGAATAAAACCATGGGAGTGTCGTCGTGCCAAACGTCAGCCTCCAGGAAAAAAACAAACCACCCCACACACCCTAAAGTGTAACCGTTTCTCGCTCGATGTACTGAGACCAGCCTCATGTTCTTTGCAGGACAGGTTAAAAAAAAAATAAACCCAAGAACGGAGGGTTTCTTCTAGAAACCCGGGAGCGATCCTGGCACTAGTGAGCCTTGGAAAGGGACGCGAGAAGTGGATTTTGATCATCAGCTGCTAAGAACTTTGCAGGATTAGACCAAGGGCTTAATGGGCCGAGCGTTCAGGTCACCCGACAGCGACTCTCTCTCTCTCTGAGAGGCCTCTGAGGCACACACACACCCCATGGTGGCCCGGAGCCCCCACCACCACAGCCCCGGACATCAAGCCGCCTCCGAACAGCAGGTGCCCCCTTTTATTTTCTGAGAGACCATTGAAACAGAGCGGTGAGTTCTCCCGGCCAAGCTTGCCGCCACCCCCCCCCCCGCACCTGCACCCCGAGAGGGAAAGGAGCCTCGGCTCCCTGGAAGACCCAAGGGACCCACGCTGTGCAGGCATCGCACAGAGGCCGTCCTGAGCCCTTCCCCTGGCCTGCGAAGGGAATACAGTACATATTTCTTTTTTTGGAGTGCGGGGAGGAGGAAGAAGCACACCGGCCGGCCCACCTTGAACTGTGGGAATGAGAGGCTGCTGGGGGTGGGGTGGGGGGGGGGGGGGCCGTTTGTCAGGGGTTTTTGCACTCCACCCCCCAGAAAACCCAGCC